CTCAGTCGCACTAGCCTCAGACTGTCTGTATCGCTGCAGAAGGTCTCACTGGGCCGCAAGCAGCCCGCGCGGGTTCGCCCCCTTCCAACTCCATGAACCGGTGCCCAGACGGATGAACAACACAGCTCAGCGCTTTTTAGTCTCCTCGGTTGTGGCTTTGTCGGGTTTTTCGGCATGACTATCGGCCGGCCATTCTCGGCAGGAATAATGCACAAGGATGCCACCGTTTTCTCGCGCGTGACGCTGTTTTGAATCCGCTCCGCTACCCGTCAACTCTAAAGCGACATCACCCTTCTCCAGGTATCAGGGTACCTGCCTCCTTCTTGCCACCACCAACATGGCGGCACACGCCGCCACCAAGATGGCCGCGCCGTGAGGCCTTCGCCCCAACGGGCAACGGAGTGTGGCCGAGCACCGGCCGGCCAATGGGGAGGCCGGGTAGCCGCCAGCCAATACGGAGGCCGCGGGGGCCGTAGCCAATGGGGACGCCGCGCGGGCCGGATGCAGGAGGCTGCGGAGGGAACGGCAAGTTCCCGCCATGTCGGACTCGCAGGTGGAGGGCGCCGCCTCGACCTCGGGGCTGGGGAGTGGCAAGAGGAGGTGGACCGAGCTGCTGGGTAAGAGGGCACCAGGGCTGCGGGAGTGGGCGGTGTCGGACCCTGAGACCCCTTATCTCCTTAGTCTCCGTCGCCCCGGTCCCCGGCCTCTCCTTGTCCCCCAGGACCTCCTGCCTCCTCCCAGTGCTCCAGAACCTCGGTCCTCGTCCTCCTCCGCCCGGAACCCCCGCCTCCTGCCCGCGTCCCACCGACCTTCAGGTCTCCTCTCCCTCAATACCCGGTCCTGTGCCCCCTGTCTTGTTCCCCCCACACCCCCGCCCCCTGGTCCTGGTCTCCCCCGACTTCCCGTCTCTTTTGCCCTCTTCCCATCCCAACGACCCCTGTTCCGGTAGATCTCCAGTTCTTCCTGCATTCGCGGGGCTGGCCCCCTTCCAACGCGACGTCAAGAAAGATGGTTCTAGGAGGCAGGGAGTTAATAATACTCTGCGTCCAGGAGTGCGGGATGACAGTAAGGGGGTCAGCTTAGCCTACTCCCAGAACCACGTAACCTGACTGAACAAGAATCAACCCCTAGGCTTGGGTTTCATCAGGTTTTCCCAAAATATCCTTTTTCTGTCCTAGGATTCCACAGAGAATTGTCTAGATTTCCTCCCATCGGTGACAGTTACTGGGTCTTTGCTTACCTGGACATTTGGAGAAGTACTGGTCCCTCATTTTATAAAATGCCCCTCAGTTGGGTGTGTCTGATGTTTTCTCATGATTAGATTTGCATTTTTCATAAGAATACCACGAAGTAATGTGTCCCCGAGGTGCACCACATCAGGGGGTCTAGAGTGTTACCAAGTCTTCTTACATGAGTTTTTAAGGTGTGCTGTAATTTTGTGGAACTGGTTTTCGCCCTTAGCGGGAAGGGTCAAGAGGCAAATGTGCGGTCCTGGAACAGAGCAGAAGTTACAGGAATCCGCTGTGCACCTCCTGAGACGCCACCTAAACTTGAATGACCTTCTGCTCGAGGTAAGAGGGAATTGGTTCGACCTTTGCAGGCAGATTTAAGTTTGGGTGTTTTGCATGCAGCCAAGGCATAATCTTAGAGACCCAGAAAAAGCCTTATGAGGATCTGGTAGAAGCACCCATTAAATGTTGACTCGATGAGAAAAAGGTTGTGAGCATTTATCTTTTTGGAGATAAAATGTGATTTCAGAGTGAATTTAGTTTTTCTCAAAAATGTTTGGTAAGATTCGCTTTTTAAAAATGTTTACCTCGAAATGTTTAAGAATAGTGCAGTAGGCAAGCATTATATACACAAATTGTTTTTATGCACACACAACTTGAACTTTTAAGAATAGAGTTCTTTGTATTTGGTTTCTAGGTAGAAGGTGCACCACGTAAGACACTGTGTCTCAATCAGCTGATTGATCCTGAGGCCTGTACTAATCTTTCTAGTTCACTCATAGGTAAGTTAGAACTTAATTTTCTTAATGTATGGAGATATGGGAGAGCTTTATGTAAAGTGGTCTTGATTTGCTTCTAATAAACAAAAGCGGTTGGTTAAGTGTCTGAGTCTTGATTTCGGCTCAGGTTGTGAGTTCAAGCTCCATGTCGGGCTCTGTGCTGACAGTGCGGAGCTTCCTTGGGATTCTTTCCCTCTCTCTTTGCCCCTCCCCTGCTTGTGCTCTCTCAAAAGTGAATAAATAAATAAACATTAAGAGAAATAATAGTGTTTCACTCAACATAGGGCTCAGAAGCAGTAGGAACCAAAGTGTCCCTTGGAAAAACATGGGACAGTAAAGTGCATTTACTTTCTAGAAGTGGTGAAAACAAGTTGTGCTGGGCTGGGGAGAGCAGGCAGGAAACCAGAAGAATATTTCCAGGTTTGAGACTATTTCAAGGTATTTAAATTTGAGAATATGAGATTCAGGGAAGTTCTGTGGGAATAACAAAAAAATTCAATTATTTTCTGGTCATTAACATTTTATTATGAAATGACTTACTTCAGGAAAATATTAACTAATTCATTAATTTTAAAATAGTTATTTTTTTTGAGTAACCTTAAACAAATAGACTCACCTTGACAATTGATTGTCAAAGGTCATTGGTAAATGATAGTAATTTTCACTGCCATAATTACATTTGAATTCCACGTACAATGTGTCATTCTAGGGAACCAAGCTTAGCCACACACTTTCTTGTATGGATTTTGGATCAAGGCTTAAGAACTTGTATAAAAAGCTCTTAACCTTGACTGCAGAAATATAAGACCCTTAATTCATGAATGTTTTAGTGGTTTTTCCTGTTGAAGATAGTGGTTGTGTTACTTATATGATACATAGGAAATGTACATTACATAAAAAAGATTAAAGCCTTGGGGCGCCTGGGTGGCTCAGTCGGTTAAGCGTCCGACTTCGGCTCAGGTCATGATCTCGCGGTTTGTGAGTTCAAGCCCCGTGTCGGGCTCTGTGCTGACAGCTCAGAGCCTGGAGCCTGTTTCAGATTCTGTGTCTCCCTCTCTCTGACCCTCCCCCGTTCATGCTCTGTCTCTCTCTGTCTCAAAAATAAAATAAACGTTAAAAAAAAAAAAAATTAAAAAAAAAAAGATTAAAGCCTTATAAATAAAAACAGACACTTTCCCATGGAGACAATTCAGAAAGAAATGGCTATTTTTTTTTTTTTTAATGTTCATTTTCGAGAGAGAGAGATAGCACGCAGAGCCTGATGTGGGGCTCCAATTGATAAACCATGAGGTCATGACCAGAGCTGAAGCTGGATGCTTAACTGATTGAGCCACCCAGGTGCCCCTCTTTTTTTTGTAATTTTTTTAACTTAAGTATAATTAACATGCATTGTGATATCCGTTTCAGGTGTACAGTATAATGATTCAATAATTCTGTACATTTTTGAGTGCTCGTCTACATAAGTGTACTCTTGGGGTGCCTGGGTGGCTCAGTTGGTAAAGTGTCCAGCTTTGGCTCAGGTGATGATCTCACGCTTCGTGGGTTCGAGCCCTGCGTCGGGCTCTGCTGACAGCTCAGCACCTAGAGTCTGCTTTGGATTCCGTCTCCCTCTCTGCCCCTCCTTTGCTCACGCTCTGTTTCTTGCTCTCTCAAAAATAAACATTAAAAAAATTTGCAAATAATGAAAAAGTAAAATTTAAAAAAAGATACATGTACTCTTAGTTCCCAATTTCCTTTATCTTTTTGGCCATCCCTCCACCCACCTTCCCTCTGGTAACTACCAGTTCATTCTCTGTATTTAAGACTGTTTTTCCTTTGTTCATTTGTTTCTTAAATTTCACAAATGAGTGAAATCCTATGGTATTTGTCTTTCCCTGATTTATTTCACTTATTAGCATCATATTCTTTTTTTTTTAATGTCTATTTTTGAGAGAGTGCGTCAAGGGGAGGGGCATAGAGAGAGAGGGAGACACAGAATCCAAAGCAGGCTCCAGGCTCCGAGCTGTCAGCACAGAACCTGACATGGGGCTTGAACCGACCAACGGTGAGATCATGACCTGAGCATAAGTCGGATGCTTAACCGACTGAGCCACCCAGGCACCCCCCCCTTTTTTTTTAATGTCCAGCATTATATTTTTTAAATCCATCCATGTTGTTACCAATGGTAACATCTTTTTTTGTAGCTGAGTAATATTCCATTGTATATATACCGTATCTTTAGCCATTCACCTATGGATGGACACTTGCTTCCGTATTTTGGCTATTTTAAGTAATGCTGCAATAAACGTTGGCATGCATATATCTTTTAGAATTAGTTTTTTTGTAGTGTAATTATTGGATCTTAGGGTGGTTCTATTTTTAAAATTTTTTTAATCTTTATTTTTGAGAGAGAGTGCAAGTGGGGGAGGAACAGAGAGAGAAAGACGCAGACTCAGAAGCAGGCTTCAGGCTCTGAGCTGTCAGCACAGAGCCCAACGCGGGGCTTGAACTCACGAACCGGGAGATCATGACCCAAGCTGAAGTTGGACACTTAACCAACTGAGCCACCCAGGCGCCCCTCTATTTTAAACTTTTTGAGGAACCTCCACATTGTTCTCCAGAGCGGCTGCACCTGCTTGCACTCCCACCAGCAGTGCACGAGGGTTCCTTTTTCTCCACATCCTCGCCAACACTTGTTTCTCGTGTTGTTGATTTTAGCCATTCTGACAGGTGCAAGGTGACATTTCATTGTGCTTTTGATTTGCATGTCCCTGATGATGAGTAATGTTGAACATCTTTTCATGTGTCTCTTGCCCGTCTGGACGTCTTCTTTGGAACAATGTCTATTGAGGTCTTCTGTCCGTTTCTGAACTGGATTTTGTGTGTATTGAGTTGTAGAAGTTCTTTATATATTTTGCGTATTAATCCCTTATCAGATATATCATTGGTAAATATCTTCTCCCATTCAGTAAATTGCCTTTTTGTTTGGTTGATGGTTTCCTTTGCTCTGCAAAAATGGCTAGAAATTAGCATTTTCTTCCCTTCTACCATGAATTATTTCTTGACCTCTATAGTTAATAACTTAAAAAAAATTTTTAATGTTTTTATTTATTTTTGAGCAAGAGAGACAGCATGTGAGCAGGGGAGGGGCAGAGAGAAAGGGAGACACAGAATCTGAAGCAGGCTTCAGGCTCTGAACTATCAGCACAGAGCCTGACCTGGGGCTCAAACTCATGAACCCTGAGATCATGACCTGAGCCGAAGTTGGACGCTTAACTGACTGAGCCACCCAGGCATCCCCTATAGTTGATGATTTCTAATATCGTCATTTGCAATCTTTGTAACTATTATTGTTTTCATTTACATATTGGTATGTGTTTTCAGAACCCTGAAGATAATGGGCATGTGCTACAGCTTCTTAAAAAAATACAAAAAAAACCCTAGTTTTAGAAGTCAAATAAATGAGATGGCAGTTTGCTTATAGGCATTACCTTCTCTAGGCTGATTGGGGTTCTCACTTGATTGAATGCAGACCAGAGGCTGGATACTCAGGAGGCTGGTGGCTGCCTGTGGGCTCAGCACCTAGGCTCCACCTGCCAGTCCGAGGGCTGACCACACCTGTGGTCTCTACTACCCACCAATGTGTGGCACAGCATTTGGAAACGACCCACTTGCCAAACATCAGTATAAAGTCCGTGGAAGCAGGTCTGGTTTTGACACTGGAGTCATTGCAAAGACAGGAACCCATTGCCGGGGTCACCGTAGTTGCCAATTGACCGTGCTCCTTGGAAAACTTTGATCAAGTTCTAAGAATATATCTGCCAAGCTCCCTTATTTGTGTCACACGGAGACGTTGGCACGTGCAACCGTGGGCTTCGAATGCTGACCATTGTTGTCCTGTGTGTCGCTTCAGTCACGAAATGGTCTTATTTCCATCCCTTGTTTTTCCCTCTAGATCTGTGCTCCCCTTCAGAAGACCATTTTCTGGGCGGCTGCAGCTTAAAAGGCTTTTTAAACGCCAGGTCTTCTGTTTTAGATTTTGTAGCGTGTCCCTCATGTTTTGTTCTGTCTTTAAGGCTCTGCTTTGCGGGATCAAGCTTCAAGGCTGGGTGTCCCTGTGGCAGTGCTGTCCAGCCGGTTGGTGGCCTCCAGCATCACGCAGATCTGTGTGTCTGATGGCGAGCCCTCGCACAGGGTGCTGCTGAGCGCAGAGCAAAGGGTGAGACGCTGGGCGATGGGCACGCTGTGCGCACTCGTTGCTCTGGAGCTGTTGGGAAAAGTAGTACATTTCTTTAATGTTGTTTCAAGTGTTTGCTTATTATTACTTTTTTTAAAGATTTAATCTCTCTTTTCAGAAGAAACTGTCTTCCTTGTTGGAGGTGGCTCAGTATTTACTGGCACACAGTATGTTCTCCCGATTCTCCTTGTGTCAGGAACTGTGGGAAGTACAGGTAAATTGGACATTGTGGCTCTGACTTTCAGGGTTTCTCCGGTAGCCTCTTGGTTTGGGTCGAGCCCAGAGAGTCCCTGGATGTTCTCAGGGGATCCAGCCAGCGTCTCATTAATCACAGACTGGGGGATGAAAGCATTCAGCAGATGCCTCTGTGGGTGGAAAGAAGTGCCTTCAGTTACTGGATTTGTTGGTATTCACCCATAATTAGTACCGTTTACTAGAATGTACCACAGACACATGGTGTTCTATCTTCTTATATGTAATTATGAACAATTTTCCAGGACAGTGTAGTAAACCAGAAAAATGCAATTCAATAATTATTCTTTTTTTTTCTTCCCAAAGTTTATTTATTTTGAGAAAGAGAGGGAAAGAGAAAAATCAAGCAGGCTCTATGCTGCCAGCATGGAGCCTGACGTGAGACTTGAACCCACAAAACGTGAGATCATGACCTGAGCCGAAACCAAGAGTTGGTTGTTTACCAGCTGAGCCACCCAAACACCCATAAAAATTATTATTAAAAAAAAGATCCTTATCTGTTTTATTTTTTTTTTGAAACATTTTTAATTCAGTAGTCTTGCAGATTTTTGAATAGTTGACAGAACTCAAGGGAATTATTTGGTTATTAAATGAGATCAGTAAGAATATAGAAAAGGTAAGAGAAAACTCAGTTAATGGTGCACTCATGGTGCTAAACCAGTGTGCTGTCAGTGTAGAGTCTGGCAGGGGGCTTGATTTCATGAACCTTGGGGTCGTGACCTGAGCCGAAATCAAGAGTTGGAAGCTTAACCGACTGAGCCCCCCTGGCGCCCCTACTTGGTGAGTTAAAGCCAAAGTGGATCCAGTGTGTATCTTAGGGCGTGATTGTTACCCCACTTTGGTTCTGCATAGAGCACAGTGCTCAGGTACGCAGCCTGCACGTTGCGGGGAAGTGTGCGCATGACGGACTCACAGTACGGTTATTTTCTTTAGGGTTCTTTGTTGCTTGAGGTCGTGTGGCAGCTTCACATACAAAACGTTGTGAGCTTCCAAGAGCTGCTGGAAAGGTAGTGTACCGGCGATAATTTAACATTACCTTAATATTACGTGATTTATTTTTTGTAATCTAACCTGCTAATGAATTACTTATTTAGATGTTAAAGCCAAAAATCACTGAAACTCTTCATTATTTAAAGAGAACATTTGTTATGGTTGAAGTTGTGATAATGCCCAGACTTGGTCATGTTTTCTTTTTTTTTTTTTTTTTGGGAAAGTGCAGGCAGGGGAGGGCCAGAGAGAGGGGGGCAGAGGATCGGAAGAGGGCTCTGCGCTGACAGGCTGACAGCAATGAACCTGACGTGGGGCTTGAACTCATGAACCGTGAGATCACGACCTGAGCCAAAGTCAGATGCTCAACTGACTGAAACCCCCAGGTGTCCTGGTAACGTTTTCTTTGTATGAGATATGTCATGTGATAATTTTTTTTTTAAGATTTTATTTTTAAGTAATGTTCACACCAAAGTGGGGCTTAAACTCATAACCCTGGGGTCAAGAGTTGCACGCTCTACCGTCTGAACCAGCCAGGTGCCCTTCTGATAAAATATTGTTAAAAATTATAAAAGAGTGGTACCTTGGTGGCTTAGTTGGTTAAACGTCTGACTCTTGGTTTTGAGTTCAGCTCGTGATCTTATGGTTCATGGGGTTGAGGCCTGTATTGGGCTCTGTGCTGGCAGTGCAGAACCTGCTTATGATTCTCTGTCTCCCTCTCTCTCTGCCCCTCCACCGCTCAAGTTTTCTCTGTCTCCCTCACAAAATAAATAAATACACATTAAAAAAAAAACCCACAACTATTTTTAGAGGATACCATCTTGCATATAGGAAACTCTAAAGAATCCACACTGTCAAGTATTAGAGCTACTAAGCTGGTTTAGCAAGGTTGCAGGAAACAACATCAACATACAAGTCAATCGTGTGTTTATACAAGAACAGTGAACAATCTGAAAACAAAGTAATTCCATTAAAAAGAACATGGAAATGATTAAATTACGAATAAAGTAGAAGAAGTGAAGGACTTGTATACTAGAAATTATAAAGCATAATGGAGGGAAACGAAGACCTAAATAAATAGGCGTTTCATGTTCATGGATTGGAGCATTTAATGTTAAGATAGCAGTACTCCTTCTATACACTTCCTTGCAGTGATCTATGCGTTCAGTATAATCTCCATCAAAATCTAGCCTGGCTTTTTTGCATACATTGACAAGCTGATTCTTTTTTTATTTTTTAAAATTTACAACCAAATTAGCATATAGTGCAACAGCGATTTCAAGAGTAGATTCCTTAGTGCCCCTCATCCATTTAGCCCATCTCCTCTAGCACAACCCCTCCAGTAATTTTCAGTTTGTTCTCCATATTTATGAGTCTCTTCTGTTTTGTCCC